CAAGGTCAGAAGCAATTCAGAATCTACCTTAGGGAGCCACCACACTGTGACAGTGGGGAGTTTGGGCCGTCCTTGAGAAGAGCAGGGAGAGCTGGGGTGGCCCAGGGGCAGGCTGCTCAGGGAAGGCTGCTTTGTTGAAGAGCTTGTGAGGGCAAGGTCCGGGGGTCAGGGATAACCAGGCAGAGGGAGGAAGTTCTGTCTCCAGCCCCCTTAAATGCCCGCCGCTCGTTACAGATGCTGCGCTGCTGTCACAGGTGTCCATCACCACGTGTGACATTAATACCATTATCCTCATCTCACAGGATCCCAGGAGGATGATACTTGAAGGATTTTCCAAAGTCATTTACTTCCAACTCTCTTGAAAACTTTAAAGACATTGGGCCTGAAAAGTTCAGTGACTTGTCCAGGGAAACCCAGTTTGTTTGTGACAGAGTCAAAAGGAAAACAGTGCAGTTCACTTTCTCACAGGTAAGTCAGCAAAAGTGTCTCATCAAAAGGGCCTTTTGGGAAGTGCCTCACAGCTGAAACAAACAATTAAAAATTTCTACCTTTAAGCATCTCTTCTCTTTTACTAGGCTTTCTGTGGATTGTCTATACCAGGGGGTAAATAATCCTATGAGAAAAATAGATAAATGATGCATAGTGAGTATTTTTCCTGCTAATTTCAGTGAAAAATACTGCCTTATCCTTTGGTGTACTTTAATTCAACTAATCTGTTGCTTTTATTTCTTTATGTTAGTCAGGAGGACACATGCGTTCTTATATCAATTGAGAAAAGTTTATGGTCATTTAGTAAAAAACTGCAGATTTAAGCCCCATGATCATTTCAGAGTCTCACAAAGACAGGTGGTGCTGCCTGTCCATGATCCATCTCGTGCCTTTTCAAGGCCCTATGTCTTTGGGGAAGATGATCCCCAACTGGGGTGCTGAGATTTGGGGCAGTGAATCTAGGAGCTGTAAGGCAGGTCAAATCTCAGGACCCCCGTCTTCTTTCTGTCCCCTCAGCTGAGCCACAGTTCTCTACACTGTCCCAGGAGCCACAGAAAATGAACATCCCTCAGGGGAGCTCTTTCTTCATTTCCCACTTTGTATTGTAATAGATTTAAGGTTTGGAAGGATCCATGCATGAAATGGAAAAGGAGAAATAGAAATAGATTAAGTCAATTTTGAGGGAAAATATACACTGTTTTACTGTTAACTATGATGTTTGCTGTCAGCGTTGGGTGGGTAACCTTGTTAGGGTAAGGAGGGTCTCTTCAGGTACCAGTTTGCTAAGATTTTATGTTAGTCATGAATGTCCAGTGCACTATATTGGTTACCTTTTGTGCATCTATTGGAATAAAGCCATGGATTATTTCCTTTAATCTGTAAATACTGTAAATAGTATAATGGATTTTCTAATATGAACTTGAATTCCTGTATAGATCCTAGTTGCTAATAAGTGTGGTAAGTTGTTTCTTACATATTTTCCTAAGGCTTTTTGCTAATACTATATTTAGGATTTTTATTTCTGTATCCACAGCTAGATTAGACTATACTTTCTTGTTTCTCTATCCAATAATGGTCTCAAGGTCATAGTCTCATAAAAAATGGGTCACTTTCCTGCTTTTTCTTTTCTAATAATTTAGATAAAATTTGTGTTACATGTAGATTTTGTGAAACTCACCTGTGAATTTGGGCCTTATGAAGATTTTTTGCTTGAAGATTTTGATTATTGAATTAATTTATTAGTCATAAGCCTATACTGGATGTGTATTTTTTTAGTTTAATTTTGGTCATAACATTTTCATAGAAAATTTTTCATTTTTATTTATGGTTTTAAATGAATTTTCATGAGCTGATAGTATTCTCCTAGGATTTCAAAGTCTTTTATCTGTTATATAAATAATTTCCTTTTTTGATCAGCTTTTAAGTTTTATTTTCGTATAAAGCCTGCTAATCAGAAAAGGACAGAATATGTTCTAGTTGGCCCAGTCTGAAACCTTAGAAGTTCAGGGTCTGAGGATCTTCAGATTCTGTGCTGGCAGCCGACTCTAACCATTGGGAGTAGAGGAACGTGCCCTTGCCATATTTGTGCTCTCCAGCTTTGCACAGCCACCTGTCAGCACCATTTGCTGACAAGAGTGTGCTTTCTCCATTGACTTTCTTTGGCACCTCTGGAAGTCGACCGGCAGTGTATGTATGGCTCTGTTTTGCACTCTGTTTACTTCTGATGATCTGTGTTAATGCTTTTGCTACTACGACACTTTCTTGTTGAGTGTCTCTTTACAGTAAGTCTTGAAATCAGGTAATGCGAGTCTTCCAACTTTGTTCATTTTTAAAATTGTTTTGGATATTCCAGGTCCTTTGCTTCTTTATAGAAAGTTTTTGAAATCAGCTTGCCTATTTCAAAAAACCCTGCTGAGCTTTTGATTTTGATTTCATGCAATCTATAGAATTTGTAGTATAGATCAATTTGGGGAGAATTAACATCTTGATCATAATGAGTCTTTCACTTCATGAACACAGTATCTCTTTCCATTTAGTTAGGTGATATGGAGGGTTTTGAGGGTTTTCATTTTTATACTTCTGAGTCAAAAGAATGGTTTTGATTTACAATTTAAAAGAATAAGTCTGTCTGCTGTTTGAGGATGGACTTTATGGGGCAGTGGTGGAAGCAGGAACAATATAGGAAGCTATTTCTGTAATCCTAAGAAGAAATGATGATCATAAGGGTGTTAGTTACTTTGAAGTGGTCAGGTTGTGGGTGTAATTGAAGGTAGAGCCAACAGTGAGAGCGTGTGTTTCCTCCACAGAACCTTCCAAATAGAGTGTGCCTCAAACTTTGGATTTTTACTGATGTGACTTACAGATGATCTCTCTATAAGCTTTGCTCTTCTCATGAATGAAATGGAACATCTTTTTTTGTTTGAAGTTCACTATATCTCTTTGTTGTTGAACTGTTCTTCCCTTACCTGTTTTATTCATGTGCTCATTTTATTGACTGTCCGGCATACCCTTATAGCCCTTTTTCTGTGATATAAATTGCACATTTTGCGTACAGTTTTTTGTATTTTTGCCTTGGTCATGATTTTTTTTTCCCCATCTTTATGTTGTTAAATTTAGCAATTTTTTATTTTCTCATTCCTGGATTTTCAGTCACAGTTGCACATTTCCCACTCTAATGTTATAAAATCATTGTTCCGTGTAGTCTTCTGGAATGTGATTTTATTTTTTACATAAATCTTGAAAGCATTTTAATTTTATCCTGCTCTGTGGTGTGAGAGAGAAATCAGTCTTTTCCCAGGTGGCCTCTAGCGAGCTATCCCTGTGACATTAGTGTCCAGCCTTTCCTCACTCATTTGAATGATGTCACCTGTATTCAGATAGTTAATCATTCTTCCCACCACACACTTTGTTCCAGGTCTTGTTCACTGGAAGCTTGGACGTCTTTCTGAGCTGTCCTCAGCACCCTGCTCCTTCTGCCCACTTCTCTGTTCGTGTTAGATTGTGGGCAACATTATCCTGTTTTTCTTATCTAACAGGATCTTATCCTCTATCTTCTAGAATTTGTTCAAATTTTTGGGCCTTCTGCTGGGAAGTTTCTCTGTATTCCTTTTTTGTCATACTTTTATAACAGGTTTTGTATTTCACCTGAGTGTGTTTTTGGAGGCAGGGACTCCTGCGTGTGCTCAGTGTGTTCTCTTGAACTAGAGGAATCATTTATGCTTCTGATTCTCTCTTCTCTTAATTTCCAGTACTTGAATCTTTCTGCTGTCTCTTTCCACCATTTAGAAATTTTTCCTCAGACTTCATGGCCTCTTCTTTTTCTACCTACCTCTTCAATTTTGTTATTCCCTTCAATTCTGTGCTTGGTCCTTTTCTCTCCTCAGATTCTATGTCCTTTCTGAGCCAGCCCTTTTTCTCTGATGACTTCAGTTAGCATCTTAATGACTAATGTCTCCTGAATTCTAATTTTCATTTTAGACCTCCCTCTCTGCTCCAAAATCATGCAACGACAGTGAAATAAGTAATTCCATCTGTATGTTCCACAGGCGTTTTGGCTGGGTGCAAGTGAAGAACATCTCCCTCACTGTGACCCAGCCTCTGACTCTCCTTTTTTTCTTCCAGTCTCTGTGTATGGCCTCGGCATCCACCCAGTTGCTTGTGCAGCATCTCTGTGTATAGCTGCACAAGAAAATAATGACCAGATTTTGTTTCCTATAAGGATTAGTTTCCCATTCTTTATCTTTGTTACTTTGCCTTAGTATAGGTCATCTCTTGAATTAGGTCTTCTGTTTTGCTGCTTAAGATATTGTCCACTATTCATATAGAGTAATGGTTCCTAACTAGGGTCGATTTTGCTCCCCAGGAGACATTTGGCAGTGTTGGGAGATATTTTTGACTGTCACAACTGGGGATGCTACTGGCATCTAATCAGTAGAAGACAGGGATACTGATAAAGATCCTAAAATACACAGGACAGTCTTCCACAAAAATAGCATCATCTGGTCCACAGTGTCAGTAGTGCCATGTTGAAAAAACCCTGTTCTAGAGCATTGCTCCTGAAATATAAATCTGGTGGTGTGTAATACCTTCCTGGGCTTACATGTATCTCTGATTGGTTCCCTATTACCCCAGCACAGATTTCCAGGCTGGGGTGTGTATAGTCTGCAGAGCGCTCAGCATAATCTGCTGGTGTATGAGAAATGTATGCAGGAATCCTATTTATAATAACTTTACCTAAAAAAATAAGGCATTAACGTTCCTCCTTATATTAAGTAACAATATATGTGTATAAAATAGAAATAAATATAAATAAATCGGCATGAGAATAATTTTTTTTTTTACTAATGATGTACGTCTCCTCAAAGCATAAGACAGAATTAGGGCCCCGTGATAGTCATCCTTTATAGCATTTTGTTTTAAATTCTGAACAGTAAACATAGTAAGACATAGTTTCCAAAGGTATTCTCCGTGTCACTGACTCTGGACCCTCAAGTTGATTAGAAATGTGCTGTTACGGGTGTCAGTGTCGTTCACGGACGTGACTGTGGAGTTCACCGGGAGGAGTGGCGGCAGGTGGACTCTGCACAGAGGACCCTGTACAGAGA